GAGCTCACCGCCTGCAAAGGGAGGGCACTGATACTGGATCCTTGGACCATGATCTTTGGACAGCTGCGGTCCAGCTCTGGGGGTCATTCCTGTGGGAGGGTCCCAGCTTCTGTCTACCCATCCTGGTGACAACACCCAGGGCTCCAGGCCTGACACCCCCAGGCTGCTTCGTCCCTGCAATGTCCAGCTTTGTGGACTTGGGCAGGTGCCTCCACCTCTCTGAGCCTCGCGTGCAGAGCCCTCGCACCTGCCTCCCAGGCAATGGGACAAAACCACTGGGGCAAAGCTCCAGCTCGACTCCCAGTGAGTGGCTCTCTTACAGAGTTTTCATCTTGTCCCTCTAGGTGACAGTTACCAAGGACAGAGCAGGCAGTTACCAAGCCCCGTTTCTGACCCTGGCAGGGTGTCCTAGAGCGGGTGACTCCCTGAGGGCACCCAAGGGACACATGTCACCTGAAGAAGCCTATGGGGCTGGACTTGGGCTTCCCTGTGGCCGCCACCTGTGGACCGGGGACAAGGCTGTGATGGACCCCCACACAGTAGGCCTCACTGTTTCCCTGCCTCCTGGGGGACCTCAGGGGCAGCTATTTGTCCCCACTGCCCTCCTTCAAACCAGGGAGGCCCTGGCTGAGCAGAGTGACCAAGTGAAGGAAGCACACCTGTGAGTAAGACACATCGACAGGCCCCTTTCCCTCCTCCTGAGCTCCTCGAGCCGCCTACTCGTGGGACTGCACTTGGCCACTCCAGGTGTGGGGGCCAGAGCAAGGCGGTGCTTGGAAGCTTGCACACTGCACCCCGTTCCCCCAACAAGAGTCAACGGGTCCCTGCAGGGGGCCTGGGTGGCCTCGATGGCTCCTCAGGAAAGGGTGGTCTGGTACAGAGTTCAAGGTTCCCGAGTCCCTCTCCTTGCCAACAGCACCAATGGTTCCTAAAGGCAACTTAACTGGAAGTTTCCTCTGGGCCCATGCTCCCCTGTCCCCTTTGAGGGCGGACCCAGAGGACAGGGGGCCGAGGGGTTGTGTAAACCCAGGGCTGCTGAAGTCAGGGGCCAGCCTTGGCCGAATGGAGTCTGGTCACTACCTACTGGCATTCCCTGAGGGCAGTTCGGGCCAGCCACCAAGCCAAGAGTCATCCTTCTGTGAATTCTAGTGAACTCACCATTTTACAGATGAGTAAGTGGAGGCTCAGAGGGGACAAAGCTCACACAGCAAGCACAGAGCTGGGGCTTGAACTGGGCCCGGCCAGCCCCGAGCTGTGCACTCAGGGTCAGCACTGCCCCCCGCCCACAGAAGGTCATGTGCTCCTTCTGCACCCTCCACCACTCATCACCACCCTGCCCTGACTGTGAGCAGAGCGCTAAGTGAACATGGGTACCAAGTTGCAGAGAGGGTTTGTGGCAACCACCTGAGCTCTGGGTGTGCTACCCTCACCCTCCTCTCCTCTCTCTTCAGCCCCCACCCTTTCATCCATCAACCCAGCCATGAGAACCACCTGAGTCTCACCTTCCCGGACAGACACACCCCACGGATCCATGAGGAGGGAGGAGCAATGTGGCACCTTGGAGCATGAGTCAGATTCAGAGAGAGAAGGGTAGGGCATGCAAGTTCAGTCATTGCCTGAGCAGAGGTGCAAAGGTGCTGGCTGAAGGGCTGGGGTGGGGCCAAACAGGAGGGTGTAGGCAGCCAGCATCAGTGCCGTCAGGGATGCACCTGGCACCATTGGTGAGCGTCTGCCCAGGGCTCACCCCAGCAGGTGGCTCTTAGCTGGACACCCACAGGCATTGACAGCAGGGCTTGGGCCTGCAGTCCCAGCCACCAGTTAGTGCACTCATTTCATAGAGGGCTACAGCAAGACCAGGGAGCCGGGGGCAGGGCACAGCACCCCACTCCCCCCCAGGCTGGGATGTGCACATGTGGAGCACCTGGCCCACATGTAGGAGTGGTCTGCACAGTGAGGGGGCCTGGAGAAGTGACCCTGCCAAGGCCCCTCACTCAGCTGGCCCCAGTGCCAGTCCCCAACCACAGCCTCCCGCCTCCCCATACTCACTTTCCCTAGGCATGGCTGGGGAGTGGGCACAGTGACTGAGACCCTGTCCATGCATTTCAGAAACCTGGGAGGACACCTGAGCTCACCACTGGCAGGCTGCAGACCGTGACCGGGGCTCTCCTTGGGCTTCGTGAGGCCCTGGGGGATGCCCAGCATGACTGGAGCATGGAGGATATCACATGTGTCTGGCCCGGAGCCCAGGGCTGGTCCATTTCCCTTGGCATTAAGAAGCCCAATCTCCACATCCAGAAACAGCACGTAGTAGGCTCTCAGCTGACCCCATACAAATAGATGAACAGAGGAATGGAGCATAGATGGACAGATGGGTGCCAGATGACCGAAGTGCCAGTAAGAGCTGCTGGCCACCACACAGCAGGAGGGACTTCGGTTGGCTGTGGGTCAAGTCTTGTTGGGGTAAAATGGGGCCACTGGAAGCTCTGGATCCCTTTCCTGCTGGGCCACAGAGTAGGATGACTTGGCACCACACAGGGTGACCAAGGTTTGGAGAGGACAGGGTGGGTGGGAATGGTCAGTGCCTGCTCACTCCTAGGACCCTCTGGGAGGTATGGGAGTTGCAGCGGCTTTTCTGTCAAGAGGCAGAAAGACTTCATGAATATTTCATTAGGGAAGCAATGTGGCGGTCGAGGAACATCTGGTGGGGCTCTCCGGGGAGCTGGAAGCCCGCGCAGGAAGCAGGGCTGTGAAATTCGGAGGTGGCATGAGGGGCTCCTGGCCCCCACCACCGAGGGCAGCTCTCTCCCTGTCACACACTGGCTCTGGTCGTCCGCTCCAGTTCTGGGCACACAGACCTGCCGTGGGGGCAGCTGTGAGGGTGGGTCGTGGGTCAGCTCCCTGGTTCCCCGCACCACGGCTCCCTGTGCCCACTCTCCCCACCCAGGCCCGTGGCCAGGTCAGAGCTGCTCAGAGGAGAAGGTGTGGGGTCTGAATTTTCAGATGAGGCCACAGCCTGGGGCGAGACTGGGACGAGGGGCCGCCCAGGGAGGCAGAGGAGCCCACTTGGGCTTGATAGGCTTTGGGCCGTGGAATGAGGCTGTGGCTGGGGCTCTCCTGCCTCTCATCGCTGGAGGTGTGGTGGTCAGTCACCACTGCCTGCAACCCCTCCGGTTCTAAACCCCCTGCTGAGTGCTCAGACCAGGGCTCACCTGGAATAGGGCAGCACCTACCCTGCTAGTGGGGGTGTCGGAGACAGTGACGGAGAGTCCTAGGGGCTGGGCCAGGAAGGACCTCCTCCAATCTCAAAGACCTGAACAAACCTGTGCCGGTGCCAGGGCACGATCCACGGGACCCTCCTGGTCCACACCAGCCTACGTGCCGAGGGGTGCCCACCCACTTCACAGCCAACCAAGCTGAGGCTCTGAGACCTTAGGTTGGCCTCTGGTGTGCAGACCCTGAACTCAGCTCCTGGCCAGCACCCAGAGCCATCCCACTGGCTTCCAGGGGCTGGCCAGGCTGGGCCTGGGCACCCTCTTTGGAAGCCCCATCACCTGCTGGTCGGGGAGGACAGCCTACCACTGAGAGCCTCTGCTCTCTGCCCGAGTAGTCTTGTGGCTGGGCCTTGGCCTGAAGCCCCAAAGCACCTCCTGTTCCGTCTCCACCTGCCTAACTCTGAATCTTGTGTTCCCTGTGACCCTCAGCACTGGGCCACCCCCACATTGCTCCCCCTCAGCCAGCGCAGACCTTGGAAGCTCCTCACTGGCCTCCTAGGCTAGGCTCCTTGGCCTTCACACTCGTAGCCCAAACCCCTTCTTACTTGGCAGAGCTGAGACTGGCCACTGCCCAGGGCATGAGCCCCAGGGGTCCATGCTCACATCCTTCCTTGCCACAGGCCCCAGGTGTCCTTGTGTGGTACCTTCTTTCTGGAGCTACTCTGGCTGCTCCGAGCATCACACAGTACAGCGTCCAGCCTAGAGTCCTCTGAGCGGCAACGGTGTCCCTCTGCTCCTGTGCCCCCAGCCTAAGGCATAAGTCCCTCTACCTTTTGCCTGATGAGCTTGGAGGCTCCCTCCCACCTCCACTGTGGATCTTGCCCAGGGAGGGGTGGCTTGGCACCGTGGCTGGAAGCACTCCACATGAGCCCTCTTACTACCACCTCCCGGCGAGCAACAAGCCCATGTAGCCTCTCCTGCTTCCTTGGCCCTTTCTGCCCAGCAGGGCTTTGTCTTAGGAACACCCCCATGCACGGCTCCTCCCCACCCGGGCAGCTTGCCCCCGTGCCCTCGGCAGCTGGGCTCCTTGGCACAGCCGCCTGAGCTCCCTCTGATGGCCACATTTGGCTGTGGTCCCACCGGTCTGCACACAGGCACAGCCGTGCCAAGCCAGGCTGCAGGGCTCTGGGCAGATGGGAGGGAGGGAAGTCAGATGCTTCTCCTGGGATCTCCCAGCCCCTCCAGGTGCCACCCTCCAGCCCTCCTCCCATCCCCACCTGAGTCCCTGGGTTGGACTGCAAGAAGAAACAGACAGACATTCAAGGACGGTTTGGGGACACCATTCCAAAAATGGGACAGAGAGGACCTTGCTCTAAGAGCCAGCAGGGCATGGGCTGGAGGCGATACAGCCCCAGGAGCCCAGAGGGAGGGGCCCAAGCACTAGAGGCAGAGGCGCTGCTGTGCCAAGGCCCCTGGGTATGGTTGCTGTCCCCTCAAACCCCGATGCTACCCACACCCTGCCAGCCAGCGCTGCTTTATTTCCTCTGTGCAGGTGCGGCTCCTACACTGTATGAAGGGCTCCCGGCCACCACACTTGGCCAACGTGGGCCCCAGGGTGGTAGGCCACCTCCTGTGCCCATGGCAGCGCACAGGGAGCCAGAGCGGGGGTTGAACATGCTGGCCCAGAACCCCGCTGCACACAGCTGTCCCTTGCAAGCTGCCGGGCCACATCACCCACACCCAGGCCAGGAGCCAGCCACCTGCCCAGAGAGCCCCGGTCCACCATACCTGTGCCTCGCTGGCCGCCACTGTCCACCTGCTCCCAGCTGGGTCCTCCATGGCTCCGCTGCGAAGCGGCTGCTGCCTCCCCAAGATGGGCTGCTGGCGATTTTCTGTGGTTTTTGTTTATGGGTTTTGGCCCCGTGAGCCCACGGGCACCCAGGAGGCACCTAGCCCGCTGTTCGTCCATGGCAAGCGTCCATCTTCCCTCCGTGGCAGCTCTCACCTCTCCCTCCTCCTGTCCCCACAGTGCCAGCTCAGAGGCAACTGGCACGGACGGAGCCCGGCCAGCCTCTCGCAGCTGGGTGTAGCCACGCTTTTTTTTTTTTGTATTTTAAACACACACACATACTCGCACATGCACACACACACATGCCAAGCCCCCCGCCCCTGACAACATGCATCCCTTCTGTCAGGAGCAGCCCCAGCCAAGAAAGCCCAGAAGCGGGCGGCGGCAGAGAGCCGGGCTGCCGAGCAGTGGAAACCCCAGCCCCGAGCCCGTCCCTTCCTCTCCCATCACCCTCCTCTTACGTAAGAACTTCACATTCGTGTTGTACTTCGGAGCTTCCTGATTGGGTCCACCTTGTCACCATCCTGGTCTTCCGCCCGCTCTGGCCCCAGCCGTCCTGGCCTCCTGCCCAGCCCCCAGCCTCTGCCTTTCTGCTCCCGCCCCTTCTCTAGGTGTGTTTATTTATGGGGTGCCCACTGCAGGCCACACACTGAGCAGCCAGCTAGGTGGACATGGGCCTGGCCTCCTGGAGCTGGCAGTCGAGCCAGGGATGTGATTAAACACGAGGGCTATGAGGAGGCATGCTTACGCTGTGACGTACAAGCCTGGCTGTAGCCAGAGCCTTGTGCAGAGTCTACCTGAGAGGTCAGGGCAGGGTCCCAAGTGGACGAGAGGGTTAAGGCCAACCTCAGGCCTGGACAGACATACAGGAAGAGGCCTTGGTCAGAACTGCAGCTGGGAGGGCAGCAGGGGGATGGCACCAGCTGCCTGCTCAAAGCCGTTAGCACCCTCTCCCTCACTTATACAGTCCCAGTGGGTGAGCGCACCCTCCGCCAGGTCCCTGGAGCAGGAAGTGACTGATTCCAAGGATGAAGAAAGACTGGGGGCAGGTGCCCCTGTCATGTGGCCCCCCTCCCCCTCTCTGCTCTGAGTAAAGGCTGTGTAAAGGCCTCAAGGTGGAGCCAGAAGGAGTGGTCTGGGTGACCCCAGGAGTGACCATTCCACAGACTTCCCACCTCCTGCCTTCTTGTCATCCAGGAAAAACAACCCTGATTGCAAGCCCCCTTGCCAAGCCTCCCGTGAGCCTGGCAGGTGACCGTGACCGACATCCTTGCAAATGCAGGTGGGAGGGAGGCACCCGTGGAAGGGTGTCGATACAGCCAGAGGGCAGGTGTGAGGGATCCTCTCAGTGTCTGGCTGGGCCATTCTGCTGTGGTCCACTTGGAAACACCAAGGCCGGGTTGACTCTGGGTCAAAGGTCACCCCAAGCCAACTCACCTGCTGCAGATGGCCTCGCCTGAACACTTCCCTGCAGCTGTGATTGGAAGGGGTGGTGGATGGACCTCTGGGCTCTGGGTGGTGGGTGCCTCTATCTTCAGGCATCCCTTTGCTTTTCTGGATACTAATTTTTTTCTTACCAATTACTCTAAGGTCTTGACAACCTTAATTATCTTCAAAACTCCTTGAAGTGCTCCAAATGGACAAGAAGGGAAAGCCACCACAGGATGCTCATTCTCCCACGGGGCTGAGACCCAGTGACCACAGGGAAAATTCTACATTGAATAAGTGCTGATTTTCGGCACTGAGTCAATGCCCACCCAAGCTCCAGCTGCTGCTGGTCACAATTGGCATTTAGGCTCTGAGGTGAGCCCCATCCCAAGGGCAACCTCTGACCTCTAGGCCACTGGACCTTCCTCTCTGTAGGGTTTGCCCAGGCCGCAGGCTAGAGGAGGTTCTAGATGGAATGGCCTCACCTGGAGGCGTCCTGACCCTTCAGCCTTGCCTCCCCGAAGCCCCTCCCACCTACTGCCTCCCTGGGCCCACTGGGCCCCCTTTCTCCTCACTGCCTCCTTGCTGCTTCCGGAACATTCTGACAGCTCCTGCTGAGGTACCAGCTATTTCCAGATGCTTCTCCTTCATAGGGCCCAATGCCCCTTCTTCATTCAAGGGTCTCTCACATGCCTCCCCCTTAGGAGGTCTTCCCTGACCATTCTTTTTTTTTTAATCATGGTAAAATACACGTAAGAGTCACCACAGTCACCATTTGAAAGTGCATCATTCAGTGGCATCTAGCACATTCCGTATTGGGCACCCACCCCCTCCTAGTTCCACAGCACTTCTATCACCCCAAAAGGAAATCCATTCCCACCCCCAGTCGCCCCTACCACCCCAGCCACCACAGAGCAGCTTCCTGTCTGTGGAACTCTGAGTGCTGGGCATTTCACACTGGTGGAATCATCCACACGCAGCTTCCCTCTCTGGTGCAGCGTTTTCACATCTTGTCCATGCTGTGGCTTGTGTCAGAGCTTTCTTCCCTGTCCTGGTAGCTGATTCGTCTCTTTTTTAAGTGGCCGGGGCTGCTTATCCTCCTCGTAGGCTCCTGTGCTCTCCTTCCACCAAGAGGAAGGCTCTCCTCCGGGTGGAGGGCTCTGCCTCTCGGGGAGCTGGGCTTGGCCCATGCTCCCTCCAGGTTAGCCAACCTCAGGATTCAGCTGGGGTGGGCCAAACTCATCTGAATTAGAAGAGAAGCACTTTTAGAAACAGAGGATGCTCAGCTCCATGAGAAGGGCTGTGGGCATGGCTTAAGGGATGGGAAGACTTCACATTTTCCATGAGTGAACGCAGAGACCCAGGCTCAGTTGGGTTGGGATGGTCATCCTATGCCAGTCCATCCCCCATCAGCTCCCTCCGCCCCACCAAGCTCTGTTTCCTGCATCCTGCAGGCACCTGACGGGCTGGAAGCACTCCCGGGGCTGCAGCGGCACCCAAGGTCTATGGCCAATCTGCTGGGCAGGGACACCTGCTGCCTGGCCTCGGTGGTAGGAGCCAGAACTGTGGTGGTCTCCCATCTCCCTGCACCCCTGCCCATTCTCAGCCACTGCAGAAGTGAAGGGTGGGTGGCAGCAGAACACCCTGCTAAGATGAAATAAAAGGAGCTCACTGATCACTGAGCTGGGGAGAGCCTATGTGGACATAGGGCAATAACAGACTAGGCGTCCAGTGGGGGTGGGACTGGGCACACTTAGGGCAATGTTGGGGGAGGGCAGCCACAATCTGACCACAGAGCTACACCAGGCACAGAATGACCCCAAGCCCTGTCCCCCTTGGATGCCTGTGTGTGAGCCTGCTGGTGGCATAGCTGCCCCCACACTTGCCCACCCCTCAGCCTCCTTGGGATCCACCCATCACCCTGACAGATGGGCTGAGACAGAGGACCCCCAGCTGGGGTCAGCACCTTGCTGCCTGAGAGGCTCACGCCTCATCCATCACTGGGGGCTGCTGGCAGGGCAGGCCGCAGCAGCTGTCTGAGCCATCCAGGTGCATGCCTTTAGAGGCTATCCAGTGGGTACCAAGTGCTTCTCTCCCTCAGCCCCTCCCCAGACAGGGTAGGTGGGTGGGTGGCTGAGCCACACCTGCTTCCCTTGGTTCCCAGAAAACTGGCCAGGTGCCACTTTGGCAGAGGGGTTTCTTTTGGTGGTCGGGGTGCAAGAGAGATATTCCCCAGAGTGCCCTGGCTTACCTACTGCTTACAGCTCTGTAGCTGCCCGGTCCCAGGGCTGTGCAGTGGGCAGAACTGAGAGGTGAGGGGGAAGGGGCTGTCCACATTCTGGTGACTGCAAGTGCAGAGATGTGCTGGCCAACAGCCTCCACCCAGATCCAGTTTCTCTGAGGTGCAGCCTTATAACATTGCACCTTTTGTAACCTTTTGTGCCTCATTTTCCCCTAGCATATAATGATGTTACTCCTCACAAGTTAGGTGAGGCCTCAGTGGAACTCCAGACATAAGTGTGGGAGCAGGTGAAAACCCCTGTTTTCACATCTAAGTGCAGGATGGGCCGTGAGGGGTGTGCCTGCCTGCCTGCCTGCCATGCGCTCTCGTGAGCATGCATGGGCATGCCCCGGAGGGTGTGCCTCTGTGGCTGAGCACCTGGACAGTGTGCCTGGGTCTTCCTTTCACATCCTCTGCCCCTGCTCCTTTTCACCACTGGGGCCCCACATGTTGGCAGAAATCTTGGAGGTTGACCCACCCAGCCCTGCAGGTAGTCATCAGCCCTGAGGTTGCCCCACCCCTGCCTGGGGCCCTGCAAGCTCTTCTGGGTGTGAGCAGTGACACATCAGGGTGAGATGCTGCTCCCCAGGGTCTTGATACGTGTCTCCATCTCTCCCACCCCAGACAGGACAGGAGGACTTGGGCCAGTCCCCATAGCCTTTCTGGCTTCCTGATCTTGTGTTTATTTCTGTCATAGTTTTCCCTGAAAGACTTGAGGACGCGTCAAGTACAGTAGTGACAGAGACCAACTACAGGCTTTCCTTCTCCTGTCCTGTCTTCTCCCCTCCAGCCACTCAGGCCTTTGTGCTCTTCCTGGAGCACACACCCCCAGCTCTTGCACCACCCAGGGTCTTCGCTCATGTTCCATCTGCCTAGAAGACTCCTCATCCAGAAATCTGCGTGGCTCCCTTCACATCTTCCAGTTCTCTGCTAAAACGCCCACTTTGCAGCAACACCTTCCCAGAGGAGCTTTCTCTACATTTCACACACACTCAGCCCCACACCTGTACCCTGCTTGATGTTTGCAGTACTTACTCATCTTCTTTGCTGACTGTCCTCCACTAGAATGGCAGCTCTGTGAGTGAGAGGGTCTTAGTTCTGCTCTAACTGTATCCTCTGTCACACAACTGGTGCCAGGTGGAGACTGAATGAGTCAGATGAGGGAGAGCTCCCAAACAGGGTGGCCCATCCCCATTCATGGAGCTCCTGCCCCTCATAGACCCCAGCCACAGTAGCTATGGGGGCAGAGCTCCTGTGGACAGTGGTGATCTCCCTGTCCTGTGGGCAAGCCCCTCAGTGTGGTTGCCCTGGGACTGACCTGGGTGAGGCCTGTAAGGTGCTCCTTGGGGTTTGCCCGCAGCCTGCTTGGTGACACACAGGACTAACAAGAGGCAGGCATTATGGCACCAGCTCCTGGTAGGATGACAGTTAACATCTGTGGGGCACTCACCATGTGCCAACCACACCACCCCCTACCCTAGGGGGGCTTTACCTGCAGTCAGTTTTCCTAACATCCCTGAAACACTAGCATGCTGTCGACATATGAGGAAACTGAGGCTTAGAGACTCGGTCAGGGGCAGAAATGAATTCCAAGCCCAGGCAGTCTGACTTTGACACACTCCCAGCACCCCAGCCCCCGGCACCTACCTCCATGGGTAGAGCCGCATGGGCGCTCTCAGC